GAGGGAAATGTTCGTGAGAAGTAGAACCTGCAGTTCACCGGGATTGGGGAGCGTATGACGGAAAGAAGTTCGGGACAAGCCTTGCGCGAAGAGCTAATTTCGGCGGGAAGTAGACGTCCTAATGTATGCGGTAGACGGTATGGTAGACGGAGTGGTAGAATAGATGTAAAGTAGGGATTTGAGTGGTATAAGTGTATTATTTAAAAATGAGGTGTTAGATATGTAAAATACTAAGTATATAGTGGTATGTATGTAAATTTCTCTAATAATAAACCCAAATTCTAGGTTTTATGCATTACCAGTTCAGGAACCTTGGCATTCCCGACATTTTCCATCGCGAGGAAGGGTTTCCATAGTGCGCAACAACTCGCAACTCAAAACTATTCGGCTCTTCCTCCAAGCAGACGCCGTGCCTTCTCCTCTCCTTATAATTATGCATCAGCTTGCTTGGGCGGATTAGAGCCGAGACAAAGAGTTTTTTTTTATTGATTTTATAAGTTATAACTTTCTTGTTTAGTTTCAAAGATTTTCCTACTTCAAACTTTTGTTTATATTGCTTTCATTTTGTTATAATTGTAGTGAGATCTTTGGATCTTTTTTGTTGATTTTATAACCTTCTTGTTTGGCATCTTCCTCCTTCATTTTGTTGTTTGTATTGCCTTTTTTTGTCAGTGTAGTAAGATCTTTGCATTTATTTTGCTTGGTTTTTTTATTATTGCTTGTTCTCTAGTAGACTTGTTCTTTTTTGAGTTGTATGAATGTGTTATCTTGTTTGATTTCTTAATAGATATCTAATTAGATTAATCATAAGGCCTCTTGGACTACGAGTTTGAACATCATGGAGAGATATTTCAAACGATCTTTAAATCTAAAAACATAAAAATTATATAGATGATAATAATAATCAGGTTGAAGAGAAAAGTGAAAAATGTATTTTAGTGGATGTTGATTTACCCAAAAATATGGAAGATTTGTTGAAAATCTTCCATCTGATCCAGCACTATGAATTCATATTGCTGAATTTAATCCAAATATTCGAGATGAAGTTTGTAGAATATATTTACATTGAGGGTCATTTCAACCTCGCAGTTATGATTTTCCAAAAACTAAATTCATGATGAAAGATAGTCAATTTAATCCTACTTGGTTTGACAAGTACTCTGATTGGCCAGAGTATAGCATAAGCAAAGTAAAATCATATTATCTTTATTGTTATATGCTAAAAAAACTAGGTAGAGGCAACGAAGAGGAAGAAACAATTAAAAAAAATGAATTTTTGAATTTGAAAAAACAAATAAATTTGATCTTCATGTAGTAAGTCATAATAATCCACATAATAATGGTAGACGTAGTTCTGAAGAACTACTGAAACAAAGTCAACATATTGGTTTTGTGTTCCAAAAGTAATCAAATCAAGCTACATATGTATACCATATCCACTTCAATACTTATGTTGATTGCATAAGATTTCTTTTGAAGCAAGGGCTAGTGTTTTAAAGACATGACTAGTCTTCTACATACAAAAAATAAGGAAAATTTCTTGAACTGGTGTAGTTTTTGGCTGAACATAACAAAGAAATACAAGATGTAGTTCTAAAGAATGCACCTAAGAATTTAAAGTTAATTGCATATGATATTCATAAAGATATTATTAGAGCATTCGTTGTTGCAATCACAAACTTTATATCTAAGGAGATTGATGATAAATTTTACTCAATTTTACATGATGAATTGCATGACACTTCCTCTAAAGAGTAAATGGAAATTGTAGACCATTTTATTAAAAAGAAAGGTGAGATAGTGGAACATTTTTTAGGTATTTCTCATGTATCAGATACAACTGCAAATAGTCTTAAAATGTTGACTGAACAACTCCTATCAACATATGGTTTGAACATTTCTAGAATACGAGGTCAAGGCTACAATGGTTCCAGTAATATAAGAGGGGATTTTAATGGTCTAAAGGTTGTTTTTCTGAATGAAAAACAATCAGTACATTACATTCATTATTTCTCACATCAGCTTCAATTAGCATTGATGACAGTTATGAAAAGTCATATTTATATTGCTTTTTTATTTACTATAATTTCAAGTGTAATAAATCTTGTTGGAAGGGCTCGAGTTGTAAGCGTCGCGACCAACTCTGAGAAACATAACATGAGAATTTGTTAAATGAATTACAAAGTAGAAAATTGTTATCTCGCAAGGCTTAAATTAAGAAATAACCCTTAGGCGAGTTAGTGATACGCGGTGGTATTCGCACTATGATTTATTTTTAAGGTTAATTATGATATTTTCTACAGTAATTAATGTTCTGTAAATCATTTTGGAAGATGACGTAAGCTCAAAACAAGAAGGTGAGGCGTATGCTTTATTAGAATGTTATAGATCTTTGAGTTTTCCTTTTGCCTTCATCTTATGAAAGATGTTCTTGGTATCACTAATGAACTATCTCAAGCTTTACAAAGAGGAGAACAAGAGATTATAAATGATGTCTTTTGTGTGTATATGTAAAATAAGACTACAGGATATGAGAGATAACAAGTGGAATGACTTCACCAATAATGTAATCTTATTATGTGAGCAATAGAAAATCAATATTCCACATATGGATGATAAATGGGTTGCCCGTGGTCGGCCACACCATAGAGCTCAAGATATAACAAATTTAAATAATTTTTGGGTTGAAATTTCTTACATAGTGCTTGATATGCAGCTTCAGAAGTTGAACAATAGTTTTATAGAAATAAAGACCGAGTTGCTTTTGTGCATGACATGTTTGAATCCTAATAACAGATTTTATACATTCAAGAAAGACAAGTTGATTCGAATGACACAGTTTTATCCAATTGATTTTAGCCTTCTCGATCAAGGAGTTCTTGAAAATTAATTGGATACTTATATCATGGATATGCAATCTAATGATCCACCTCATTAAAAGATATAGGAAGTCTTGTTGAAAAAATAATCCAAAGTAGGAATGATATTATATATCTTGTTATTTTTATACGACTGGAACTGACATTGGTATTACCTGCTGCTATAGCAAGCATTGAAAGAGTATTTTTCGCCATGAATATTATAAAAAATTAGCTATGAAATAGAATTATAGATCAATGGATGAATGATTTATTAATTGCTTATGGTGAAAAAGAAATTTTGGATTCTATTGATAATGAAGAAATCATTCAACTCTTTCACAATATGAAGAGTAAACGTTATAAATTATAACTGGTTTACTATCTTAAATTTAATACTATACATTTTTGGATAATTATTTATAAAAATTTTTAAAACTGCTTATGCTAGCCAAGCCTAGATGAAAAAAGTTGAGGGAAAATTTTAATAAAATCATTTAAATTATTCTATCTAGCCTAACCACTACAGGAAAAATTGCATTTTCCTTGACTAAAATTCATTTGTAATTAGTATTTCACGGATTTGAGATAAAAAAAATTTCGTTGATTAAACACACATCGGAAAACAAACATATCCACCAGAAATATTTCCGACGGATATCCAATGAAAATTGCAGCCAAAAAAGTTTATTCTAATTCAGCCCAGGAAAGAATGAAAAAATACAACATAAATATAATATTTTAAAATTTCATCTTTTTATGGGGCTCCTGTAGTTTTTATTCTCTCTCACTCTCTCACTCTCTTATCTTAAGCTCTTTGATATTGTAATTCAACTTTTAGCTTAACTTTATTAATCAAAATAAACCGTGCTAAATTGATCAATATTAAAATCAGGAGGTTCATAAAAAATCTAATCAATTCGCTGGTTTTTCGTTTCAACTACCGATTCTGTTGAAAATGGTTCTGAAACTGGATTGAACCTACTAGACGACTGATTCCCTGTTCAGTTGGATTTTAAAACCCAAATTTATGTGTTTTGCTTGTTTTTTATATCATTATGCTTAGATAATAATCAAGATATACCTATCGGACCTCATAAATTATATGGTGTTTTGCTGGTGAAATTATTACGTGCGACCATCGGATATCATCTGGAGGCCAATCAGGATACACTACATCACTAATTTATTGTATATAATTATTTAGGGTTTAGTTCTGTATCAGGTGACGTGACACGTCCTGATTGACCTCCTAACGGTCCAGTGACCACACTTAATAATTTATCTATTTGCTGGCATGTGTGGTGGCCATGGGCAGAATTATTCTTCACCTTAGTTGAGTAGTAGAGTGGTAGTGCTCAAGTTGCGTTTTTTTTATTGTTGGAATTATTTTATTAAAAATGAGTACTTAGTGATGCCTTAAGCTTTGTTTAGAATAATTTTTTCATTATTTTCCTTTAGGATGATTAGAATTAATCCAAATATCCTGAATGAATTAAACGTTTAGGGCGATTATATACATAACAATTGAAATTTAATTTTTATAAAATTAATTTTCTCTTAAATTTATTTTTTAAATCGCCACTTAAATGTTAAAATTCATGACAAAACTCAAATCCCAAATTAACTTTTATTAAATTTCCAACATCTTAATTATCACGAATGCAAATATCAGGACTTGATATTTAAAAAAAAAAAAGCATGCATATTGATTTATAAATACTCAAATTTTAAATATTTTGTATATAAACCCCCCTCCATTTTTAAACTAATTGACAAGTAAAAAATCATCAAATTACCAAGATATAAACTTTGGCCAAAATCATCCTATAAATTATTATTTTTAATTTAAATTTAATTGTTATTGGGCATTGACAACTGCGAAAAGAACTCAGTTCTAAAAGGAGTCTATGATGAATTGCAATACAGAACATATCAAAACTATTTTTTTCAAAATAGTTTTGAATAAATAATTGAGGCTTTATTTGGAGCAACTTTCTTGCTGTTTGATGAAGCAATTTTTAATACAATTTTTTTTTTTAATTTAAAATTTTTACTAAAAAATAACTCCATAAAACAATAAAAAAAACTGTTCCGAAACCTGAATACACAGTAACTCCTGATCGCATAATACATGACATGTATGCTTAGAAGGCTTAGCCATATAACTTTAAAATAACTCCTGATCACATAATACATGACATGTATTTCTTCGTGACAGACCTAAAACATAATAATAAGCTCATCCATATAAAAAGAACCCAAAATTCCTTGCGCAAGGACCTAAGATATAATCTAAATAGTACAAACCTGAAAGCTTAGGAGCTTAGGTATCTTGCAGCAAAAACTCCGAGTGCCTAATACAAAATTAATGTTGAAGACTTATTTTTGTCAGTTTTGAAATTTACTACATTGAACAAAATTGGTTGATGCTGCTGGAGCTCAAAATTGCAATTTTCGCCAATCTGAAATCTCCTTATCATCCTCAACCTGCCAAGTTTGCAATTAATCATAACCTAATCAATACCAACAACAAGTGCAAGCTTTCATGGAACTTCTGTAGATTACAGAATAAAACTCATCTTATAAGGAGTAAGATTTCAAGAGATTTTAAACTATGAAGAGCTGTAGGATCAGTCGGATAAAACAAATACTTTTACCTCAATGAGTACTCTTCCATTTCTTTTGGATTTTGAATTAGTAAGGGTTTTGTCGGCCTTTACAGAATCAGAACTAAATCCTCTTTGTTTTTTCTTTGGCTGATCTTCATGCGCATCATCTGTAAAGCAGAAAATCATAATTAATAAGATTGAGTGCAATGAAAATATAATTTGTACTTTTACATGACTTGAATGTCAACCCAAGAAACAAGTAAACACTTCAGTTTTCAATTCCTCTCGGAAAATATAAGTTAAAGCTTGAGAACAATTCTAATTTGTGCGTAGAAAGAGGTGTCTCTTTTACCATGTTCATCATCCGCAGAGTTATCTTCCTCTGCAAAACTGCCAAAATCTTCCATGTCTTCTTCCTCTTCAAGGTCTTCATAACCTTCAACATATTCTATTTCAGGCTCCTGCATGAAAGGATATGTCAATTAAAACTTAGTAAAGCATGGCTGAATAATAAAAGGGACAATGATATATGTGGTGTATTGTACTAATTTAATTCTGGTTTTAGAATGAAAAACATACAGATAACTAAAATAAAATAAAATTATAAATATATTTCAGTTAAAATTCATTTGTATTATGTCAGCGGCATAGTCAATTAAATATGTGCACATTAATTTCGATGTTTAAAATACATATATTTTATTTTGCACTGCTGTAAAAATGGAAAAATGGAAGTTCTTTGAAAAATTCATACGTAGCATAAAACAAGAATTTGCAAATCAAGCTAACAATAAGCATGTAAGCATACTTCCTCATCTTCTTCTGCAGCAGGCTCGAGCCCTTCCATTTCAAGAACGTTGTTGTAGGCCTCAACAGGGTAATTATAAATATCACCATAAACGCCTTTTTTTAAGCGCTCCAGCAACTCTCTCTCAATACTCTGCAATAAGCTTACGATGTCAAACCGTTGGAAAAAAAAAAAAAGTAGATAGTAAACAAGGAAACTATGCATGTGAATACGCAGAAGTTTAACAGACTAAAGTTAACCTTGTCAAGCACAGCAGCTCTTTCAGCCTTCTCCTCCCTTCTAGCTTCTCTCTTTTTCTCTTTCCGAGGTACTGTCATAATTTTCTCCCTGCAAAACAAGACAACCATTTTAAAAGAAGAAAAGATCAACTATGTATCAAAATCCTACAAAATAGACATACACAACAACAGACCTACTTCAAAACCACCCCTAATCTTTTAATTGGATTACAATTAGAAAAATTTAAGATATTAAAAATGACTACACAATGACAACATCAACATAAACATCAACAAAAGGTCTTTATCCCACTAAGTCGGGTCAGCTATATGAATATTTTTTCTCCGTCATATCCTATTAGAAATCAAATTTTTATTTAAATCTAATAAAAAATATAATTTTTAATATTTTCTAACCAAGTCTTTTTAGGTCTACCTCTATCTTTCTTAAAACACGCAGGGTCTAATAATCTACTATTTTATTCAAGTCATCAAAAAGCCGTCGTTTTATGTGAACAAATCATTTAAGAAGACTCTGTAATCTTCTCTACCATTCGAGCTACACCAACTCTTTATGCATTGATCATTTGTTGAGAGATAATTTATTTATACCTTCTAATATATATATTTATATATGTATATTTGTAAAAATTACAGTGTGTGTGTGAGTGTGTGAGAGAGAGAGAGTATTTATTGCACGATCTTTTCTTTTTAATGCTCTTTTTTTAAAAAATCTAAGGGACAATATGATTTCTAATTATAAATCTCATAATATCATAAAATATCAACATTCATATTTTCATATTAATTGCTTCTTATTCTTGCATATTGTATCCTATACTAGAATTATTTATCCCATCTGAGTATTTAGCTTAACAATTGTAATATGTGATATTATATGAAAGAAAAAGGAGCCCCTGTGCTATCAGGAAGGTGATCAATTGTATCTTATACAAAGTATTTTTTGGGTGTATATTTTTTTAGAGTTGATAGAAAACAGATAATTAAGCTGAATATTAAAGATTTTTTAGTGGGTAAAATTTTATTTGAAGTTTTATAAGTAAATTTTTGTATTTTACATTGATGAATATTGTGTACTTTCAAATATTTAATTATGATATATAATACAATAATTAGAATACAGTATATGTTTTTCTACTAACATGATCCTGATGAGCATAATTCAGAATGGATGTCAGTGAAAAATCTAACTAGATTATCCAACTCCAATACATCTCGGGTTAACTAAAGAGGGTTAAAATGAGGTGTGCAGAAATTGGTATCAGAGTTGATCTTTAAATTGTAATTTGTAAAAGAAGAGTAATTGGATTTACAAAGGTAAGTACGAATGAGATTAAAATGAATATGATTTATATAGAGTTATAGGTTGATTGAAATTGGTTGTCATTCCAATAGAGTTGAATGATGATATATGTATAATATGATTTAAATTTTATATGATTACCTATATTATGATTCATAAGAAGATAAATATTCTATTCATTCAAGAAACTAAATGGGTTGGAGAGAAGGCTAAGGAGATTGATGGTTCAAAATTTAAACTATGATATTCTACTTAGAGTCGTACTGAAAATGTTATAGATGTGATTATAGATAAGAGTTTAAAAGATAATGATGTAAAAATTAATAAAATTGGAGATAGAATTATAACTTTAAAAATATTGTTGATGCTAAGATTATTAATATTATAAGTGCTTATGATCCTCAAGTAAGTTTGGATATGGGTTCAAAATTAAAATTTTGCAATGACTTAAAATATTTAATACAAAAGATCTTGGTGGAAAAAAAATTATTTGAGGGAATTTAAATGGACATGTTTGTAGAGATGTAGATGATTTTAAAAACATTCATGGTAGCTATGGGTTTGAAATGACTAATGAATGTGGTAAGACTATATTAATTTTTATTTAGCTAATGATTTTGTAATTGATAATATCTTACTTAAGAAAAAAAGATGAGCATCTCATCATATTGACCTCATAATTCGAGGTCAATTTCACCAGAATTAACATCTAGAATTTAGATATTCGTAGCCTAGTGTAGACATCATCCTTAAGATCCCCTCAGGTTACCAAGTGACGTAAAATTGACTTGTCGTGAGCTAAATCGAATTTGAACTCACACTAGTCGAATCAAATACATAAAATTGAATCAGGCTAAATTAAAGTTTCAACTAAATTTCATTTAAACTAACATATTAATTTCATTAAAACAAATTTCTATCTATTTTAAAATAAAAAAATATAAATAACATCTAAAATTTTTTGAATTAAAATTAAAATAATTTTAGTATTCTATCCTAATGAAATCAAAATTTAAATAAATTTTTTTTATTTTGGTGTGGTTAGGACAGTTTGAACCCAAACCCCACTACCGCCTACTCATTCGCAAGAACTGAAACTCCCAAGGTCTCCTCTCAATTCGCAACTCCATCTCCCTATATTTTCGGTAAAAACCGCCCCCCTCACTCGTCGGCTCTAATGGGTGAAATCCCTTTCTCTCCCAGTTCGTGAAAAGCCCCCAGGCCCCTGTCGTCGTTCACGAGCTCTAGGTCCATCCGTCTTCTGCTGTTTGAGAGCCTTGGGTCCAACCTCTCTCTTCCCTTCGCGAGCCTTAGCCGAAGACTCCAGACTTCCCTTTCTCTCGTCCGCCTCACACCAGCAGAGCAAACGTGGAGTGACTTCTTTCTCAGTGTACCTGGAATTACTTCCCTTTGTATTGCAGTAGGAGATCAGGTAATTATTAAATGGACTTATTGGATGTGGCAATCAGCCACAAGAATGCATATTCTCATCCATCGTCATCAGCTTTATAGTTAAACGTTAGACTTCTTTTCAGAATTCTGAAAACAAAAGATTTTAAGAGACATTATCTCATATTTCTGAGGAACTTTCCTTTCTTGAAATACAGGCCATTAAAGTTTACATATGGGTAATGATTTGCAAAGGCTAAACTTGTAGGGAGACTAACAATAGGCTTTCTTTTTATTTTCCCACTCTTTCTTGGCAAAAGTGGCTAGCAGGTTCAAACATATCTATGTTTTATATCTAATCCGGTTTTTAGCAATGGAAAATGCTAATTAACGCCATCAATGTTGAGGCTTTTGAACAGACGTTAAGTTCAGAAATCTTTTATCGGTAAAAGATTGTTTTGTCTAATTTCGAACTTTAATGTCTACGCAGATGCCTTACTATCATGCAATAGCATTTTGTGAAATAATTTTTGTCAATACCATCCATTGCTCTTCTATTTTTCATGTATGCATATGAGTTTAACTCATCTGTTATGAAGTAATCGCATTGGCTTGATTTTATATCTAATGTTTGCATATAATTGTATTAAACATTAATACAACTTATGTTTTTTTCCTAAACAAATAATAGTAGCTATCTTTATTATTATACAAACATTTACAATAGAAAAAATTTCGTAACCAAATTCTACATTTTTTTAATCTTAAAAAATGATGGAAAAGAAGAAAACAAATCGTATTTGAATGAAACATTATATGCATGTTATTATATTCTATCAGAATTCTTCATCTTCTTTAAATGAATTTAAAAAATATATTTCAAGAAGAATCGAAGTTGAAATAATACACTGAAATCTATATAATTAAAAAATTAGATATTTTCATCGACGTCTCTTATTACTTAAAAACTTCTCTTATTACTCAAAGTTACAATTACAAAATATGTATTAATCTCCTTTACAAATTTCTTAAAATGACTCAAATTATTTGGTGAAACAACACAATAAGTTTTACAGAAAACCAACTATTTTCACTTATTTGTAAAAATTTTGCTTTTCAACATATAACTATTAAATTCTAAGAAAAACTGTGGCTAATGAAGTCTAGAAAATTTTCTAATACAAAGGGCATTTTATTATAATTATATGTATGCATTGAAGTTGATTGGATCATATCATTTCTCTCTTGATATTTTTTGGATTTTCTATAGATTATTTAACAATAATTAATTATTTCTTAAAATTCTATAGATATTCTTGATATTAGTTATATTCAGAAATTTTATTTTACTATATATTTAATTTGTTATTATATCATGATATTTTATTTTCTTTCTAACACATAATTTATTTATATTTTTTAATAATCCATATTGAAAATCATTGATAATATTCATTAGTTTTTTTTTTCAGCTAATATCAAAGAATCTAATTTATTTTCATTATAAATTATTTCAGTTGGCCAAAAAATCTATCATCATTTTATGGATAAGTATACATAAAGTTATTTGATTGCATGTATATTTTCTAATTAATTTGGAGATAGAATATATTGAATTTTGCATGATATTTTTTCATATTGATATAATTAATTTAAATCTTCAACCTTATGAAATATGTGCTATTTAGAATACTAATTTTATTATTATCATTAATATAAATTACAGTTATAATTCTATTATGTTATTTTAATCGCTTTCGAACATATATTATTTAGTAGGAGGATTTACATACATACTAATATATTTAATGCTATTTACATATCTAACACTCAAAATATTAATATTACATGCCTACTACCCATAGAACAAATATGGATGTATGAAATAAAATATTAAAATTTATAGGATGGTATGAGTAGTAGGAATGAAATATAAGAGTGGTATGTTTAATATTAAAGTTGTATATGGGTGATAAACATATAATATTAATATTTTAGATGTTAGATTTGTAAATAGCATGAAATAAAGTGGTATGTATGTAAAACCCCCTATTTATTAATAGTGAATTTTAATATTGCTTATTTGCTTCAACTTTTGAATAAAGGTAAGTAATCCACACTTTTTATTAATTAATTAGTTGCAGGTTATAAAAGATTATCATTGGCAAAAAAATTTACCATTAAATATTATATAATCTTAATTATTATAATCCTTATTATGATAATCTCTTTATTTTTTTCATGTATTGTAGTTGGGATGATTGGCTCTTTAGGTTTCTTTTGATTTTTAATTGTAGTTCTTTGAGCATTAGCGAACATTTGATCTCTTTAAGAACTTGTAATTTTTTGATGAATTAACGCGTTGGCCTATTGGTGAGTTTTTATAAATAAAAAATTTGATAAAAAGACGAATGCCTAAAACTAGATCAAATACATATTTCATGAGAAGACATAAATGCTCCATGGTGTTGTTCTTAATAGTTTATTTAAATGCCTTAGTCTTAATCTTGTGACTTATTTATTTATCAAAGTATTTTTGGTGTCTAACACTATTAGTGCTGATTAAGCTTTAAATAAATTGTTAATTGTTAATAAAATGAGATTAAAACAAGGGTTTTCATTTGCTATTTTTTGTAATTTTTTTTTGTTTTAAATAATAAAAAGTTTAAATTATTATGTAAACTCATCCGCACTTAATCCCTTGCAAAAAGAAAACTTGAAATATTTTGAGTCAAGTTTTGGCAAATGTTCATAGTGGAGAAAAATGCTACAAAAAATTTTATTTAAAAAAAATCCACTTATATTTTAAGGTAAATACCGACATTCAAATTCATCATGCTTAATTCATGTTTCACATAATTATTTTGTTAATGACTTACTGGGTCTAGAGGCACAATTATAATTTTAAAACCGAGCCAAAATGCTTTATCCAAATTTAAAAAAAGGTTATGAATAATTAAATAAAATTTTTCTTATAATTACAAATAAAAATTGTATTCGATTTACCATCTGATCCTCAAGTACTTCTCAGTTTTGTGAAGCATTTTTCTACAATTGTTACAAGTCCCGCCTCAATTCTTTTTTTTTTTTAATTAAGAAATTAAAATTTAGAATTATTTCATCTAATATTCTAAAATATTTATCACTTATCGATCAAATAACTTTCATTGGAGGTATTAAATTAGTTAGATGTTGTGAAGGATTAATATGTGTGAAATTTTTTTATCATAATAATATGATATAAATGTTGTTAGCCTGTTATGAAAAGATGATAATTGCTTAGAACTAGATGATATTTATATTTTATGAAAAGACATAAATGATACATGGTGTTGTTTTTATTATTTATTTAAATATCTTAGTCTTAATCATTTGTCTATTTATTATGTCTTCTTAATTTATTCAAAGTAATCTAGGTGTCTAAATTTATTTATACATTTTATTTAGTTAATATCTTCTATGTAGAGAGGTGTCAATAAAGTTTGATGTTCACAAACAATTCATGTTCCACACATTTGTTAAGCTAGCAGTGTTGATGTAGAGTATTAGTTAGTCGATCTATTATCAAACTGTATAACTCTCTTGTAGATCTCCATTGTTTACTTACAAGTGTGTTATACAAGTAATTTAGGTGTCTACATTTATTTATCTATCTTAAATTACATTTGATTGTTCTTCTTATATTTGTTTATATTCATTCATTCAACCTATACAAGTGGCTTTATAATTTGCATTTATTCAACATATATAATTGCATGCATTGGAAGTTAATGATGATTGCAAAACTCTAGATGTAATACCTTATACTTCATGAAATAACAATGCCATGTCTAAATGTGATTTAAATATTCAAAGCTTCTTCACATTTTTTCTATTGAAAGTCACTAAAAAAAGGGCTATTATCTGATTGAAACTATTTGGCTTGCATTCTTCAATTAAATACTCAATCCAACAAAGGTCCAAAAATCTTTTGGAATTTTTATTATGTTATCTCATTCTTCAATTGACATCTCTTATGTTTCATTTGATGAATTTACCAAACTATAGAAGAACAAGCAATTTTTCCTCGCAACACAATTTGCATTGTTTTTATATTTCGAAAAGCATTAGAAGTAATGTCACTAAAGCAGTTAGTACAAGAGGCTGACTATTTTTCTCCTACTCACCTTAACCTCATTTGCAAGATTGGAAATCTATGGAACTCTATGTATGGGACCTCATTGCTAAACTATTGTTATATATGACCTATATTTTTATTTGGAAGCATGATAATACACAATTCATATTTTGAGAAGGCATTCAATCATATTGAAACCTCTATTATAGCTTACATCACTCTTAAACTAGGGAATGTGAAAATCTTCTCTTCGGCTTGGATAAATGATAGTTCCTTGTGGAAAATTTTGGAGAAATTGACTTTCGGTTGATAATATAATTAAACTATTTATAATATGAATTTGATTTTTAATTTTTTATTCACAAGCCATAAAACTAGTTATAACTAATTGCACTTGATCTGATCATTTGATTTGTTGATGTTTTCTACAAATATGAATGTGTGGATTTCCATTACCAACAAAGTCCATAAATTTGAGCTAGTCCATACATGTTGGGCTTGGAGGGCCTCATTAGATGGGCTTAAATGGGTTTGTATAACACATTTGATGCCCTTGGCTACAAAACAAGTACACTGAACATCAACAGACATTAGTTCTCTAAGCATTAGGCAAGTTTCAAGAAAAAAATACTCAAACTCCCACTCGTAGCAGTCGTTAGGGTAAATACTTTAACTTACATGCCATAGAGCCTCTAGAAAAAGACAATAGAATCCTATATGGCAATAAATTGTGAGCTGAAATTTACAATGAAACTCACCTATGTTATTTTAAATGGAAAACTTTGTGTATCACTATTAAATTTCATAAGCATTTAACTCCATATCAAACATATTTAAATAACTAACCTAATGGATATAGTCGTATAACTCACGCTAATGGCAATAAATAGTGTGCTGAAGTTTCCAATACTCATTAGCTTTCCAAGAATTAAGCAAGATCCAAGAAAAAAAAAACTCCTCAACCCACCTAAAAGACAATCAAATCCTATATGGCAATAAATAGTAAGCTGAAAGTTCCAAATGAAATTCACCTCCATGCTAATATAAGTGGATGACTGTGTGTCAATATTAAGTTTCATAAATATTTCATTCCATAATAAACATATTGAAATAGCGAAGATAATGGATACAGTGGTGTACCTCACTTTTAACTGAAGCTTTCTCATGCGTATCCGATATTGTGTCATTTTAGTGAGGCGTTGCTTTAATTTGTGTACGAGTAATTTAGGCCAATATTGCTATTAAAACAAAAAAAAAGGGAATATATCAAAATTTCAGACCAAACCAAACATGTTATCATGAACAGATTTTAGTGATCTACCATATGTTTGTCAATAGTCTCCAAAGCCTTTTCATAATTTCTGTGTAGCTTAACTCTTTCCCATAATTTGTTTGGCATATGAGCCCTTTCAATAGTTTTCATGTACAAGTAAAACACCCCTGCAAAAATATTATAAATGAACTATCAGAAACAGTAAATTCTTGCAGAAAATTGACAAAAATCAAAAAATCACTACAAGAGAATATTGGGAGAACAGATATATCCAAACTAATGGTTCGTAGAAAAATTTACAAAATACTACGGAGAAAAGGAAAAACAACAAAAATTCATAAAAATATCAGATCAAAGCCCAAAAAGAAAATATAAATAATGAATTTAGCACAAAAGAAAGTAGAATAAATGGACGTTCCATGAATATTTCATTTCTTGAACAGCCTATCCCTTTTGAAGGTATAGAATAACCAGCATGAATTCTGATACAAAGCTAAAAAGAAAGATTAGTTGACATCAAAGTCTTTGAATTTTTTCATGAATTTCAAAAAGATTTCAAATCCATATGCCTTCACCGAAGTTCCAAAAGCTAGCTAACAATGCTCTTAGATGCATTTCAAGAAAGTGAATAGCCTAGGATGAAATATGTAGAGCACCCCAAGCTTACAACAACAACAACAAACATTGATCCCTCTAAGTGGGAACCCCAAGCTTACATCAAACCCCAAACTTACATCAAACCAAAGTCTAGTCATCACGGATTCAATACTGTTCAAGGCTATATTTACACCCTTGCCACCCACATTCTCCAGTCAAACTCGTATCAAAATTCCCTGCTGTTCAGTAAAAAAATTAACATGCATTGGCTCAAACAGGCCAGTAGGGATATGCATGCAGGTTACATGAGATCGCCATAGCCTAGAACTGCCACTGATTGATGATGGACATCTCTGCGTCAGCCACTCTTCACATGCAAGAGGTTTATGTCCATCACCAAATTCTTGAATCAAATCAGATACCCAAGAGAGTGATAAAGAGATCAATTAAGAGGACAAGCAAAGAGGATTGATATGTGGCTGAGACATATCTGTCAAAGCCAAGAAGAATTGGCGAGGTTGAGAATGAACCATTGATTTATTAAACTAGTAAGTAACCAACTAATGGGTTATTTCTAATCCACTAGTTTGATATGTTCATTGGTGTCTCCTCTTTAATTAACTTCCATATGACAAATCATATTGATTCATGACAAATCATGGAATGCTACAGTCTCTGCAGCTTGAAGGAAAAAAGAATTGTGCAAGTAATGTTTAGGTTATCTATACTGCAGTTTTCTCAGCATTGTAACTAACTTGAGTTGGTGGCTGGAATTTACAAAGATGTAGCTTAAGTTAGTCTATCGGGTCAATAGCCCTTCATTCAGCATTGCAACGATCTTAGTTGGATTGGAAGACTAAGAGTGAAAGACATAAAAAGGAAGTGGTGTACGCCAGTTTTCCAACCAATATGAAACTTCACTGGTTCATTTTCTCTCATCTTGTGCTTGTGTTCATTGTGAAAAAATGGAAAAGCGTACAATATTTTTTGCAGCGACATTACTCTAGAAGGATAAAATTCTTACATTTAGTAAATAGGTTAGAGAACAATCAAGTCAGTGACTGCTTCAGTTTATTTGTATGAAATTCTCATATTTAGTGAATAGGTTAGAGAACAATCAAGTCAGTAACTGCTTCAGTTTATTTGTAACCTGAGTTTGAGGACGAATGATCCATTTTAACATAATATAAACTCCTTATCTGATGTGGCAGATAGAAATTAGTAGAGCTTCTAACAATGTGCTATATCCCTCTTGTGAATTTAACAGCTCTGTATCTCTTTTAACAGAGGAGTTAACTTCAAGTGGGAGCTGAGTACCAACCAGTGATCACGTTCACACATCTGCATCCCTTTGCACATTTTCCAGGCAGGTATCTCTTTATCCCTTAGCACATTGAGAAGGCTGCTCTGCCTCAGTTATTAACTACTTAAACAAATTTGGGATGTGATTATGCTCACACATCAAGTAGATAAGATAGTTAATGACACCCATTTAAAGTGAGATACTTCCAAACTTTAAGTGTTTTAAGAGGGCATAAGGCATAAGCAGATTTGTGGATGAGCTAGTTAATGGCAGCAGCTTAAAGTGAAATACTTCCAGCCTCCAAGTGTTTTAGGAGGGCAGAAAGCATACATTGATCCTCGCTTATCAAGAACAAAAATCAAAGTCAGATCATCTTTTTGGGAAAATAAAATTCACAAGTTAAAAAGTTTGGGAAATCACCAGGCTATGAGGTTGGTTGCACTGGCAAGTTGATGCAATGCCCGTATTTTGTGGAAGAATTCAATTCGAAGAAATGCAATAAATTCTTTTGCATGATAGTGTTCAGTTAATGCAATGCACTCTTATGTATTGTTGGTTACCACCACAAGTGAGGGGATACATCCCTTTCACAATGCTCCTTACTCTGAACACTGAACCCCTTTTTAACCCAGTAAAACATCAAAACTTAGCTATACCTATCACTTTTACTTTTTCCTCCATGCAAGTAGCCCCAATAGAATCAATCTTAAGATTAAAATATTAAAGATAGCTTTTATTGGGCGTTTGGTTTTCAGCTTTATCAGCTAATAATTTGCAAAAGCTGTTTTATGGCCATGACTTTTATCCTGTTGTTTAAAAAAAAAAAAAACTTCAAATTATGGAAAAAAGTTCTTTAGCCTTTTTCACCCAAATAGCATCACCTATTTTGTGGCAACTTATACAACAACAACAACAACATCAAGCCTTTATC